AGGCGTTTCCATGCAGACATTGGTGAAGAAACACACTCCTCCTCGGGGCATCACATCATTATGTGACCTCTTGAGTACATTTGGCCAAGTTATAATTCACTGTTAGAAATACAGGCCCGCTGAGGGCCGAATCTGTTCCGTTCTCTTCGCGCTTTGCCAGTGTCCGCGTGGCATCCCCCTACTGCAGCCCGTAGCCCAAGCCCCACGTTCCTTTGCCAACAGGCGTCCTTCCTCTGGCTGCCAGGTTACCTGCCCAGGACAGGAGGATGTCAAAAGAATAGAAACTAAATGTTGAGGGCTTTTATGTTTGCTTTACGCAGCCAGTTGTCCCTCACAGATATTAAAATATGAGGAGAAAGTCTTCTTATCCACCTGATTACAATCTCCTGTGCGCTTCATTCTGTTGTAGATCCACGTGTTCGGTTGGTATCATTTTCCCTTTGCCTGAAGATCTCCCTTGAACATTTCTTAGGAGTGCAGGTCTCATGGTGATGAATTCTTTTTTTTTTTTTTGGTGTTGTCTGAGTACATTTTTATTTAGCCTTTTTAAAAATTTATGTATTTTTAATTTTTTAAAATGTTTATTTATTTTTGAGAGAAGGAGAGACAGAGCGTGAGCAGGGGAGGGGCAGAGAGAGAAGGAGACACAGAATCGGAAGCAGGCTCCAGGCTCTGAGCTGTGTCAGTACACAGCCCGACGCGGGGCTCGAACTCACAAACTGTGAGACCGTGACCTGAACCGAACGACTGAGCCACCAGGATGCCCCTAGCCTTTATTTTTAGAAGATAAATTTTTGGTGGATAGAGAATTCTAGGTTAATACTTTCTTGTCACCATTTTCAAGATGCTGTTCCTTTGTCTTTTGGCACACACAGTTTCTGATGAAGCCCACTGTCATTTTGTTCCTGTGTAGGTATTGTGTCTTTTTTTTCTCTCTGGCTCCTGCGGGAAGTACAATTTCATGTGTGTTTGATGCTTGTTACTATCCCACAGGTCTGAGTTTCTATTCTTATTTACTTCTCTCAGGCTTTCTTCTTTTCTTAATTTTGGTTAAATTTTATTGCTAGGTGTTTAAATTCCCTGTTTGTTTGTTTTTTTTTCCAGCTGATTGTGTCTAATCTGCATTTATCCCATTCAGTGAAATTTTCATTTCAGATACTGTGTTTTCTTAATTTCCAGAAGTTCCATTTGGTCCTTTTAATAAAAAACCTTAGGAGCGCCTGGGTGGCTTAGTTAAGCGCCCAACTTCAACTCAGGTCACGATTCCGCAGTTTGTGGGTTCGGGCCCTGCATCAGGCTCTGTGCTGACAGCTCAGAGCCTGGAGCCTGCTTTGGATTCTGTGTCTCCCTCTCTCTTTGCCCTTCCCCGGCTAATGCTCTGTGTCTGTCTCTCAAAAATGAATAAAAATGTTAAAAAAAATTTTTTAAAAACCTTCTTTCTCATTATATCTATTTGTTCTCTTAATATTTGGACACAGTTGTAGCAGTTTTAATATTCTTACCTGCTGGTTCCATCATCTTTGTCATTTCTTAATTGGTTACTATTTTCTGATGTTTTTTCCCCTCCTGATTGTGTGCCACATTTTTGTGTTTCTCCTTCTCTTGATGAAATTTTGATTAGGTGTTGTGTATTGTGAATGCTATATTGTCAAGTGTCTGCATTTGTTATGTTCCTTTAAAGAATGTTCTGCTTTGCTTTGGCAGAGCAGTTTTTTTTCGTTTGTTTGTTCGTTTGTTTTAAGAGAAAGAGAACATTCGCATGCACGTGGGCATGTGGTGGGAGGGAGAGAGAGCGAGAAAGAGAGATTGAGAGAGAGAGAGAGAGAGAGAGATAGAGAGAGAAAATCCCAAGTAGGCTCCACACTCAGCATGGAGCCCTACATGAGGCTGGATCCCACAAACCTGGGATCTCATGACCTGAGGTGAAATCAAGAGTCAGACCTCAACTGGCTGAGCCACGCAGGCGCCCCTGGCAGAGCGGTTTTAAGTTACTTGCACGTCTAACCCCCTTGAGGCCTGTTTTTAAACTTTGATAGGGTAGGCTTAATGTAACCTTCCCTCCAGAAATAGTTCAGCCCTACTATTAAGGCCTGCCCTTGCAGGGTCTCACTGAGTGCCTTGGGTGAGTCTCCAAGAACATTCTACTCTGGTGCTGGAACACTGACCTACTTTGTGCAGACATTGGGAATTGTTCAGTTTATAGCTTCCTGGTCATTTTTCGCCTTCCCTTCTGTGCGGAATTGTACTCCCACATGATGGCCTAGAACTTGGTACATTTCTAGAGCTCTCATTTTGTGTAGCTTCCTGTTTCCTAGTACTCTGCCTGTACCTTACGGCCTGACCCCTCAGCGTCCCTGAGCTCTGATTTCCGTTTTCTCAACTTGCCGAGGCTCCTAGGTTCAATTTAGGGTCTCGTTCCTTGTACTTGGTGGTCTGGGAATTATCTCCAGGCGGGAAGTTGAGTAACTATGTAGCTCACCTGGTTTGTTTCCCTCTCAGGGCTCACAGTTCTGCACTGTCCCTTGTCCCATCTGAAATAGTTGTTTTATGTACCCTGTCTGGTTTCTGGCTGTTTGCTGAAAGAGGTTGAGTTTGGTCCTTGAAAATCCATCATTGCTTCAATAGAGAAATCCCAGGAAATCCAGTGACATGGGCCCTCTGAAAATAATTTCCACTAAGTGAATATAGTTCTCAGTGGAGTGCCTGCCCATGTTAGAAAAATTACACAGACTTTACATGAATTTCTGAGTGAAGCATGATGGTGTCTTTACTTCCCCTGTTCATTATGCACCTTTCCCACAGACTGGAACTGTTCCTGTAGTGATTAGAGCTCCCCTGAGGGCGGATGGGCTGAGAGCAGGTCTTGTCACTGCTAATACTGGCAGCGCTCAGTGGTTGACCTTCCCTTTGGGTTGTTTTCGTTCTTTACATCAGACTCAGTTTTACTCTTGGAAGGGACCTTGTTAATATGCTTACAGTCCAAGAATCACCTTTTGAATCCACATAGGTAAGTCGATACTAATAGACCAGTGAACATCTGAATCAGTGGGAAAGTGATGTGTGTATTAAAGGAACCATCTGTGAAAGAGGATTGCTTGATAAGGTGATCTAGGAAATTTAAAGGAATGTTGAAGGCAGGTAATTTGCACAAGGATATGCATTTAGAAGGATGGATCAGCTGTAAAGAAGCTGTGTAGTTTGAAGTGGATTGTTGGTGAGTTGTGAGAAACAGTAGGGTCATGATTAGACACCGGACTTGACTGTTGATAGTTGAACCAAGCAGCCAACAGGTCAAGAAAACAGGCTTGTATTTGTGTTTTCTGTTCGACATTTATTTACTTCAGATGTATTGGAAAAGATCTAGCTCCCTTATTCAGAAATCGTGAATATTGCCAGCTACAGATGTTTGTTTCCTTTATTTTAAATTACTCTTGGTTCTCTGTTTAAGCCTCCTGAATGACTCACAGTTGCTGTATAAGCCCATGGTACTCTGTATAAGTGCACCATGATAGCGTTAATTGTGTCATCCGAATGTTGTTCCTAAATATGTTGATTATTTTAAAAGCCCAAAGATGTTTTTTTCTTTTTCTTTCTTTTTTCTTTTTTTAAAGGTCTGTTTATTTTGAGAGAGAGAGTGTGCGCAAGCAGGAGAGGGGCAGAGAGAGAGGGAGAATCCCAAGCAGGTTCAGTGTGGTCAGTGTGCAGAGCTCGAACTCCGGAAACCAGGAGCTCATGGCCTGAGCCGAAATCCAGAGTCGGATGCTTAACCGACTGAGCCACTCAGGCGCCCTTTTCTTTTTTTTTCTTTTTAATTTTAAATGCAACCTAAGGAATATTCCTTGGATCCACTAATGCTTAGAAAATTTTGGAATTAATGAAGAAACAGTGCTCAACTCCAACAAAAGAGAAATGAAACATTGACGAGGAAGCATTTATTTCCTCTTGTCAAACTTGTTGACATTTAAAAATGGTCATATTGTGGGGCGCCTGGGTGGCGCAGTCGGTTAAGCGTCCGACTTCAGCCAGGTCACGATCTCGCGGTCCGTGAGTTCGAGCCCCGCATCAGGCTCTGGGCTGATGGCTCAGAGCCTGGAGCCTGTTCCCGATTCTGTGTCTCCCTCTCTCTCTGCCCCTCCCCCGTTCATGCTCTGTCTCTCTCTGTCCCAAAAATAAATAAACGTTGAAAAAAAATTTTTTTTTAATAAATAAATAAATAAATAAATAAAAATAAAAATGGTCATATTGTGTTGGCAGAGGTGTGACCAGTTGGGCACTTCTTTGAACTTCCAGGGGAAAAAAAAATACATGACCTCTCTGAAAATAAATTTGGCAGTGTATACTAAAAATTTTTATACTCTTTGACCCAGTAGGTATTGCTTCTAGGTTTTGGTTTTTTTCTTAAAATTGTGATAAATTTAAACAGAAATGCCAGTAGGAAGGTGTTTGTTGCAATGTTATTTCTAATGGTGACGTATTGGAACTACCCTGAATGCCTAGCAAGACCATTTCAGTTGTGATATTTTCTCATCACAGAGTACCATGCAACCACTAAGACAGCATTTACAAAGAATATTTTATCACCTGGGAAAATGCGCATATTTGAAATAAGCAAAATGCCAAATGATGTATAGTCTCGCATCAGCTGTTATTAAAAAAAAAAATGCATGCAAGAAAGGTCAGAAATATGCCAAAATGGTGAAGTAATTGTATGAGGTGGTGGTTTTATGAGAGGTTGTTTTCTTCTTTATGTTTTCTCTGTTTTCCAAAATTGGAGCCAGGAGAGCATTCTAGATATGTGAAAGCAAACATGATGTTTGCATCTGCATTCTGGACTTACCCTAAGGCCTTTCTAGACCCCGGACTGGCACCTCACATCCCAAGAGTAGGCACACCGTTCATCTCTAAGGCTAGTTTGTTGTTTTACATTCGGGTGGAAAAGTACCTTTTTTTTTTTTTTCTTTTTTTTTTTTAAAACAATGATTTCTCTGCTTACTCTTCAGATAAAAATTTTGATGATGAAGATTCCGTGGATGGTAATAGACCTTCCTCTGCGAGTTCTACATCATCCAAAGCTCCACCCAGCTCAAGGAGAAACGTTGGAATGGGGACCACCCGCCGGCTTGGTTCCTCCTCTCTTGGATCCAAGTCTTCAGGTAAGACCACCGAGTGGGGTGCTGTAGAGTCAGCTCTGCCAGCTCTTAAAACCAGATGTACTGCCTTCCGTGTCTGTCCTTCAGGGATGAAGTGGTCCTGTTTGCAGTATGTTTCTACTCACTGTGATTTATGTTAGCACTGTGCTGTCCGTGCTGATAGGGTAGAAGTTTGAGCCGCTGTGTTGCCACGGGTTGGTAAGGGGGGAGCCGGTAGGAGAATATGGCTAGCTCAGAGGCCAGCATAGCTAGGAGCCAGGGCAGGAGTGCACCCTGATGGCTTTATTCGTCCACGAGGCTCCAGCGATGGCCTGCAATTACCATGGGGACTTTTTTGTCAGTTTCTGTCTACCAGCACTGAGACTTCCCAGAAGTCAGATGGTGTGCCTTCTGTGTTTTGTTCCTACGAGTAGCATTATTCCTTGTGAAACCGGAATGGATGTTGACCTAAGTAAATGGTAGGGCTCAGCTCCCTAAAGCTTTGAACATTGATTTACAAAGATACCTTAGTCTCAGTCTCTCCTCTGCCACTCCCCAATGCAGACGATTTGAGTCCTTGTTATACACAACTTGCATTTTGCTGTCACATGTTAAATTGACACACAAATCTCTTTTCGCTTTACATTGTGTGGCCTCTGCCTTTAGAACTGGTTGTTAACGTCGGGCTTTTGAGCTTGGCTGGATGAGCTAAGTTAAAACAGCGGGAAGGATTGACTTAGAATGCCGCCTCCTGGTGTTCTTTCTGGCCTGCTGAGCTGGCCCTAGAGTGTTGGGGTCGTGCCTCTGTCAGCTTGGTGCCTCTGCTGCCAGCTTCTCTCTCCATGTTAAGTAGCTGTGCTGATGGCCGACACACGGGTGTTCACACCACAGATGGCAGGAGGAAAAAGCTGTGCCTTTGTTGGTGTTCTTAGTCCTTTCTATCTGTGTTTTTGTTTATGTTTTTGTTTGTTTTTGGTGCGTTAAAAATTTTTTTTTGTAATTGAGTTTAAATTCACAAAACATCAAATTAACCATTTATTTATTTTTAATAAGTTTCTAAAAGTTTACTTATTTATTTTTGAGAGAGAGAGAGGCATGCCGACAGGGGAGGGGCAGAGAGAGGAAGAGGGAGAATACCAAGTAGACTCTGCAGGGTTGGCATGGAGCCTGATACGGGGCTCGAACTCATGAAACTGCGAGATCACAACCTGAGCCGAAATCAAACGTCAGATGCTCAACTGACTGAGCCACTCAGGTGCCCCAAATTAGCCATTTTAAAGGTAACCATCCAGTGGCATTTCATGTATTCACAGTATTGTGCAGCCACCACCTGTGTCTAGTTCCAGAAAATTCTTTTCCACTCTTGAAAGGAAGCCCCGGACCCTTTAAACGGTCGCTCCCCATTTCTTCCTTCCCCCAGCCCCTGGTGATCAGCAGTCTGCATTTTGCCTCTAGGCACTTGCCTATTCTAGGTATTTCAGAGAAATGGAGTCATGTAAATGTGATCTTTTGTGTCTGGCTCCTTTCATGTAGGGTAATTTTTTACAGTTCATCTGTGTTACAGCATGTACCCAGTATTTCATTCCTCTATGACTGAACCACCTTTCTCATCTTTCATTGGAAAAATCTATTCTTGGGAGGCATCAGTTCCACAAATGAGGCTTCGAAATTTCTACATCATTAGACCCCTTTGATTTCCTTCCCATCCCGCACCCATACCCCTTCCAAAAGTCCCAGCTCTAGATTATGTAGAGATCTTGGCCCTGCTCTTACCCTTTTTTCTATTTTGTTTAAACACCGCAGTCATGAATTTCCTTGTTGACTCCTCCTTGTCTGATTCTGGGGCTCATGGACCATGGTTGGTCTCTGAGTCCCTTTACGTATGTGGGTACGTGATGCAGCACTTATCCAGGGCAGCGCTCCGGACCTGTCTGCTCAGGGGGATTCAGTCTTTGTACCAAAACAGGTACTGAGCACCAAGTGACGGTGTGATGTTACTGTCATGTGACCACAGCTATGAACTCGGTGTGAGGAATCTTCATTGAAAGTGAGGACACGCATTTATTGCTCCCAGAATTGTCTTTAAAGCCTTGTCTACTTTTGAGGACCCTAAACACCAAATAACTTGTCTGCAAAGAAACACTAGAAAAGCACTCAGACTAATCAGTGTAATTCATTTTTTTAAATATGGAATTTATTGTCAAATTGGTTTCTGTCAGTGTGAATCATTAACAATGAGGGTTTCAAGGGTGATCTTAAACCCCAATTTTAAAACCTTTATTCTGAAAAAACAAAAAAAGATTTGACAAAATGTCACATGATCTTCATGTGTGAAGTAGAGTTCATGTTAGCGAAAGAAAAAAACTCTCTCTCAAATGATAGCAATTAACCTTTAAGTATACAGAGCATCTTACAACACCTTTAGGAGGGAAAATTCTTACTAGTGCATAAGTAAAAAATTGACCCAGTTACCATGTGTTCAAGGAAATGGAAATGTTTTGAGAGTAATACAAAGTTGAAATGAAATGTTAAATTCTTGAGCACTTATTTGAATATTTCACAAATTTGTTATACTAGATGCCTAAAAATAACATAACCTAATTTATTCCCCAAAGGATTAAATTTTCTATTATATACCTGTTTATTAGATTAATATACGACTGCAGTATAATTGATGTATGTCACTTAAAGGCTAACTGTCCTCCTTAACACGTAGTCTCTTTAAGTGACTTTACACTAACGTATGTAGTATTGTAGAATCATGACATTTCATCTCTATATTCAGAGTTAGTAATGTTTGTCAGTTCCACAACACTCTAAATTTTTATTAAGGCTTGTAAAAAAGCCATAAATCTTCCATAATGTAATGGGGATTGTGTGTGTTCAGACTACTCCTGTGCACACCGTTCACATTTTGAAAATCAATCTTATTTATAGCTGCAAAAGAAGGAGCTGGTGCTGTTGATGAAGAGGACTTTATTAAAGCATTTGATGACGTACCTGTAGTACAGGTGAGTGAGAATATTCGAGTTTGATTAAAAACAGGTAGGCTTACTCGTCAAATTTTAGTTTTCAGATACATGATATGTGAGGCCCCCTTCTAGGTGAGGTATTTTTACCTCTTAAGACCTACTGCAGGTCTGCACTTGCAGATGAGAGGACATCGGTGCCTTGTATTGCTAAAATGCACAGCAGAAGTGAAGTGATCTTTCAGTAGGGACTGGAGAGAAGTTGCTTGCTTGATCTAGTAGTACGTTTGTGGCTTAGGTCACGTAAATGAAAAAAAAATCAATGACTAGGTGTGAGAACAAAGAAGCATGCCTAGAAAATTTTGTAAATTTCAAGGACTGCGATGTCTGAAAAGCTATGAAGAACAGATTAATAAAAGCTCAAGTTTATGCCACCTTGATGCTTCATTTAAGTGCCTAACAGACGCAGCAGGGATTACTTATACGTTTGGAGTATGCACATTTTAAGTGCTTTGTGCCTCAGTGTCCTTTGTTGTTGACTGGGGGCTAATAACACTTGTCCTCAGCCTGCGTCGAATGTAGTGCTCTGCCTGCGTGAGTCACTTGTTACCTGTTGCCTGGTTGCCATAAGTACCGTAAGTCAGATAACCGGCACCATAGGCTCAGCTTGGGTTCAGCCTTACCTTAAGTCCTTGACCTTCCAAGCTTGCATCACTGTTGGTTGATTATTCCCCTACCTACCTTATTAGTAAGATGTAAGTGTAAATGAGAAAGATTTCAAGAGAGTGTTGAAGTTACGTGTAAAATGTGGTGTTCTAAATAATACTAAGAGTAATAAAGGCCTTGTGCATCACTGACAATTCCCCAGTCGGCTCCTTTCTCTTCTGTACATGAGATCATCTGTTAAGTTTACGGTGAAGCTGTGCTCAAAGCATGGTTATCTGTATTTGAGCATCAAATCTATTGGGTATATATTCCCAATGGGAAGGAAGCTCATTCGAAGACAGATGTATCTGGAGGTTATCTCATAATTCCTTCTGAAAAATGAAATTACTAAGTATTCTTGACTTTCTGTAATTAAAAACTAATCTTTGTTGATTCTGTAAATTTTCTTACATTGGTTGTAAATTAATTTTGCTTACAGATTTATTCCAGCCGAGACCTGGAGGAGTCCATAAACAAGATTAGGGAAATATTATCTGATGACAAGCATGATTGGGAGCAAAGAGTAAATGCTGTAAGCCGTTGACTTCATGTGATTACATTTTCATTAGATTTATTTCAATGTTCTAAATACTGAATTGTGCAATTGGGGTATAGCTCTGATGAATTTTAAGTAGTAAATGTTTTAAATATAAATCACCATATTTACACTTACCCTTTTAGTAGAGTACCTCATTTCTCTTCCTGTTTCTAAAACAGGCCAACCTGTGCCTTTAAGTATATCCTGTACTTTTAAAAAAGATGTAATGTGGAACGTCTGGAGACAGCCTCCACTCTTGCCTTAGTCCAGATTTAATTGTGACTGTTGGCCAGTTAAGTTGGCTTTTCTTAGTGGCATTTTCAGGGTGTGTCCGTCTCTTCCTTTCTTTCTTCCTATCACTTGTTGGAAAGTTCTCTCCCTCTGTTTAAAAAAGTGGATTAATGAAATGTGAGGGGAGCATTACAGTGCTCCCAGTACATATCTTATCTGAGGAAAGCTGTTTTACAGCGGTTGGCTGGGCAGGAAGCAAGGCTGTGAAATGACTGCTACGTTCCATTCAAACTCAGACTAACCTTTTAGTAATGATACACTGGAGGATACTATATAAAAGACTGTAGGATCGCTTCTAACTTCGAGTCATTTAACGGATAGCAGTTGGAGTTGGGTATTGGGGAAGGTAAGCTTTAGGGGAGGAGCAAAAATGTTTACAAGTAAAATATCTATTTTGTAGAATTGTGAGATATACTACATTTACAACTTCTTACTTGTGATATGTGGATTTGTTCAGTATGGTAGCAGGTACTGAATTGGCTGAATTCTTTTGGGAAAACTTTTGAGATCAGTTAACTTTGATGTTGATTTCTCACAGTTGTTGGCTTCAGTTGTTTTATATATCCTGTTTTAAGGATTGTTGTGTGTACCTCTTAATTTTTTCCGTTCCACCAGCTGAAAAAGATCAGATCTTTACTTTTGGCTGGTGCCGCCGAGTACGATAACTTCTTTCAACATCTGCGTCTTTTGGACGGAGCCTTTAAACTATCTGCTAAGGACCTGCGGTCTCAGGTAGTGCGGGAAGCTTGCATCACATTGGGGTAAGGACTGCCACGCTTTAGATTCTCACACATCCTAAAATAGTCTTATTGCAGCGCTTCAGAGATGGTTCGTTGAATGTGCCCAGCAGGTCCCTTTAATGTACCTTCTGACTAGTCTCCAGGACCTATTCCATTTATTCTTCTGTTGGTGCTTTTATAGTATTACAATATTTCCTGCCCAATTACATAAAGTTTGACAGATTTTATTTTATTTTATTTTTTTTAATTTTTTTTTTCAACGTTTTACTTATTTTTTTTGGGACAGAGAGAGACAGAGCATGAACGGGGGAGGGGCAGAGAGAGAGGGAGACACAGAATCGGAAACAGGATCCAGGCTCTGAGCCATCAGCCCAGAGCCTGACGCGGGGCTCGAACTCACGGACCGCGAGATCGTGACCTGGCTGAAGTCGGACGCTTAACCGACTGCGCCACCCAGGCGCCCCAAGTTTGACAGATTTTAAATGTTATTCAGTGACTTAGCTCTGAAGCCTCTATTTTAAACTCGAAGCAATTATTATTAATAATTTTAGTATATGTGCTGCCGAAGCGAGCACAATTATTATTAATAATACAAAAAAAGAAATAATATAAACTTCTGTCTCTTGGCTTTTTCATTGATTTTGCTGGCAGGATATAGCATTATCAAAGTTTTTGTTTGTTTCTAGAAGAGTACTGTATCTATAAAGTTACAAGTCAAAGGCAGATAGGACAGTAAAGTTTTACCCTAGCTAAAACTGTATCAGTGTTTGCAGCTGGAACTTCTGTGTTGAAAAGTATGTCAGAATGTCAAAGAAGCAGCAACAGCAAGGAGGTACTGCAGCTGTCTATTACAGTTTTGGCTGGGATCAGATATGGAAGCGTGTATAATACATGTGAAAGGTTAACAGGGCAAAAGGAGAAGAGGGTGAGGGAGCTCTCTCAGCTCTACACTTAATTGGTATATGACCAATTTGTCTTTTGCTGTTTTTTAAAGAAATTTTTAACGTTATATTTATTTTTGAGAGAGAGAGCGTGCTCACGTGAGGGGAGGGCATCGAGGGGGGAGGTGGACAGAGGATCCAAAGCAGGCTCCACACTGACGGCAGTGAGCCCGATGCGGGGCTCGAACTCACGAACTGCAAGTGATCGTGACCTGAGTCAAAGTCCGGACCTCAACCGACTGAGCCACCGAGGCGCCCCTGTCTTTTGCTGTTTTAAGACTAATTAGTTGGAAATGATTTATTTAAAAGAAATGAAAGGAACGAGCTCATGGGCTAATGTCTTTTGGCCAAGTCCACAGCATGCACACGGGAAGTGTTTTTAAAGTGTCTTACGTAGACATTTGCCTTTTATCTCTAGATAACTTTAAAGGAAAGCCTTACAGAATGTTAAGAGGTTTATATTGTTTCACTGTTTGCAAGGGATACAGCTACAGTGCAGTGTTCATTTCTTGTTGTAGGCATCTGTCATCAGTTCTGGGAAATAAATTTGACCATGGAGCTGAAGCCATCATGCCAACTATCTTTAATTTAATTCCAAACAGTGCCAAAATTATGGCCACTTCCGGTGTTGTAGCTGTTAGGTTAATCATTCGGGTAAGTGTATTTTGGGGCCATACATAGAATAAGCAAGTGGTAATAAATGATGGTTGATAAGCAGTACTAGAGGCATTTTTCATTAGCAACACTATGTACAGTTGGAACCATGTTGTATATACAAATCAGCCTCCCCCCTCCTTAATTATCTATAGGAGTCTTTTTTTTTTAATACTCCATAATGTGAATTATGAATATGGTGTACCTACTCATGTGTTGATTATTTACTCATTGTTGGCTTTAAATATTTGAATATCTGTATCTACTTCTGGGGTTACACTTGGTTCTTTACTCCCAGTCATTCCACTTTAGGTATTTGTGTTTGTGGCTTTGTTACTCACCTAAAGTTTTTATTTAATTACTTGTGTTTAAGCCCAGGAACAAAATACTCCTTTCAGGTTTCTAAACACTCATTATTTAAATTTAAATAATTATCCAAGTAATTTATATAGACGTTCCCAGTAAAACCTAATAGCTCACAAAGGCTTAAAATGAACATTCTCCACATCACCTTCTCCCCACCTTCAAGTCCCTTTTCCCCAGAGGCAACCCTTGAAACTGGGACGTGGTGATGCTAAAACCTATCCAGAATATTCCTGATTAAATCATTGTGGGTTACTTATTTGTATTATTTTTAGTTCTGTTTGCACTGCCTACTTGAAATATTAAACCCAAAGCCATCATTGAACATTCCCATTGAAACAGCATCAAAACACGTTGCTCTGCTGACCGCTATTGAACTCACTTAGATCTCCACTGCCGGATTATTTAGACTTCCCACCAGTCATTTGTTTTGCTGTTAGATTTATTTACATATCATCGGCTGGTCTGTTCAGGCTCTGTGAATTTTGTCATGGCCTTTGGCAATATCCAGTGAAATTTTTTTTCCTTTTTAAGCTCAGCGACATTCTAATCTGAATATTTATGTGCTTTAGGTAGTTTAGTAATGAAGTGGTTGTCTTAGTTTTTAGTTTTGTATTTTCAGGTGTTCACCTCCGTTTCTGTTCTTCTCTGCAGCACACACACATCCCTAGGCTAATACCTGTCATAACAAGCAACTGTACCTCTAAGTCTGTCGCAGTTAGAAGGTAAATTTTTAAACAGCTTCCTCATTATTTTTGAATTGTTTAAAAACCAAAATAAGTTCCAAACTTCCGTCCATGGAAACAAATTCATGTTTGAGATGTTAAAATTATTTTAAGATCACTGCAGTAAATGGCTTTGGGTTGAGGGATCGTGATCTACATAGTCTGGAAAATAAATTTGGACAACCTCCATTATTTTGTGTGTATGTGAGAAAGAGAGGAGAGGGAGAGAGAGAGAGAACACATGTGTCTGTGTGTGAGTTTATGAAAGGGGGCTCTGGAGAGAGTGGGGTAGAAGATGGCCTGTACATTTTTTCTAAGATAGTCCCTCTACTTAAATTGTTGGTATACCCCTTCTCTGAATGAAAGTGGTAATTGCACACAAGGAAAAAAAAAAACATTATAAAAATTAACGGTAGTTCTTTACTATTGACATGGGTAGGAGGAGGTATATGTTGTCTCTGTCTTCTGACAGTGATTTCTGAGATTCTGAATCCCAACTAAGAGAGAGACCAACTATCCAGGAGATACCGTAGCTAGCTAGCCCTTTGTTCCCAAGTCCCTGCCTAGTGTGTCCACATGAGCTGCCATAGATCACATCCCAGGAGTAGGGCCTCTTCTATCTGGGATCTGTGGTTCTTGACTGTTGAGAATCTAATAAAATCTGTGGCCCCTCTTCCCAAGAAAATGTAAACACACAGAATATTGTATGTAGATTTTGAAGGGATTCATGGACACCAGTGGATATTCAGTGGACCGTATCAGGAGCTTCCTAGGGTAAATTCATGGTTGGCCTGGGCAGCAGTCTCTTGACCACATTCCTGGAGTTCTTTGTCCGATCCTAGCCCAGTGAAAGAGCCCTTCAGTCTAAGCTTGGAACCCAGCTTACTTTTGCTGCCCGCCATTTCCCTTCTTTTCTGGCATGTCACATTGGTCCTGCTGGGTTTCCACGGTAGGGGAGCCTGCTAAGCGTGAGGCGGCCCCATAGCCATCTTATTAACAGCTCTGTGAAAGTCATGAGGGAGGAGGGGAATCATCCACCTTTGTAAAGCCAGGAAGGAAGAAATTGGCACCTTCCACTGAAAAAGCTTCATCTCTAACCGCATGGCTCACTTGTATATCACTGAGGAATGCAATCTACCCTTGACCTGCAGTCCAGCGTCTCCTTCTAGAGATGAGAGGGTGAAGTCAGCAGGAGAGAGGGATGGTAGTGAACTTCAGAACCTGGCAGACTGCAGCTGAAGCATTACCTCTTCCCACTGACTAATCCTCTGACCCGCTGGGAACAAGAGTACCCCTGGGGCAGAGCTGTTCTGGGGGTTCAGTCATTGGGTAAAGGAGTTTGACACCTAGTATAAGCTTAATAAACGATGCCAGCTGTTAGAATTTGTTGCTGCTGCTGATGTTATTGTCACTATTGTTTTAGGTTTCCAGGAGAAATTCAGAATGTGCAAGGCCAAGGTCCTCTGATGAGGTGAAACGGATGTTGTTGTAGGATGTGTAGTGTATTAACTGGCAACAAAATACCATATACTGCGTGCTTCCAAACAGCAGAAGTGTATTTTCTCACAGTTCTGGAGGCTGGAAGTCTGAGATCAGGGTGCCAGCATGGTTGAGTTCTAATGAGGGTCACTTGCAGCTGGCTGACTTCTTGCTGTGTCTTCACGTGGCGGAGAGAGATCTCATGCTCTCTGGGGTTTCTTCTTGGAAGGGCACCAGCCCAACCATTAGAGCCCCCATCTCATGAACTCGCATGAACCTAATGATCTGCTGAAGACCCCATCTCCAGATATTATCATGTGGGCATTGGAACATAGGAATTTGGGGAGAACACTGTTCGGTCCACAGAATTGAGCAATTCTGGCCTTTGCTGCTAAACGGATAGTAACCTACATTCACTGTGACAGTAGAAGTGTCTCCCCCTTTACCACTTTCTGAGTCACACACTCAGATTACTGTTCTTACATTTAGTCAGAGTGTGTATCAGTCAGAACCATGGGTCTTAATGCTGAAAGAAGTAATAGGGACCATCTCGTTCTCGTCCCTTTGCCTTCAGAAAGGTTAGGTCCTTCTCTTAGGTCCTCAGCCTGTACCTAGCTCAGCTTCGTAGAATTTGTAAGAAATGGATCGTACAGTCTCCCTGCCTTTGAGAAATTTATATCATTTAGATAGGGAGATTAAAAACAGTAACGCAGAGCAGTGTAAGAGTGAGTTACAACACCTGTATTGTGGATTTAGGAATTCAGAGAGCAGTGATTAAAACCAACTGGTATATTCCAGTGACACTTGATAGGCAGGTTGAAAATTGAGTTGCATTTTGAATGATGAGTAGGAGTTGGTAAAGGAAAGAGACGAGTTCTAACCTGATGTGTTTAAATAATGATGTGTTAAACAATGCCAACATTGATAATACTTCTTTGTATGTTAGTCTGAAAAGTGGAAAATAAAACCTAACTTAAAGGTCATATTTTTGATTAAATAGATTGTTCTAACATGCATTTAAGACCAAAATTAGCACCAAAGATGGCTGTATTCACTAAGAGATAGATAAATATAAACATATACACACATGTTAAAGAAAAAAAGAGAGACAAGAAAAATCAGACCAGGAAATGACATGAAGAACGGAGGAGAGGTAGAATAAACACGGCCTAGGTTGGGGCCAGTGTGGGGAGAGTGACAGAGGAGAGAGGATGCAGGTATGGGTAAGTGTCCTTCCTTGGAGAAAGTTTGCTTCACAACCAACATGCACACACGCGCAGACACGCACACTGTTGGCAGCCCCAGGGCTGGGTTGAATAGCTCTGTGTGGTTCTAAGAAGAGCCCCCTTGTGCTCGTGGCACATGGGAACTGTCCCTTGTCTGTCTTGTTTGTTGGTTTATGTCTTGGTTACCGTTGTTATCTCTAACATCGAGGGTAGGTTTATTAAAGATTTATTGAGTAATTAATTATATGGGTTATTGAGGTTGTGAATTGAGAGGATCATGGGAACGACAGTCTGGTCATTAGAGAAAAATTACCCTCTTACTCGTTTCCTTGAATGAGTTCCTAAGACTACTAAGATTTACCCCCACGGAGATAAAGACCCTGGGCTTTTGACAAGTTCTAAAGAGGTAGGACGCAAAGCAGTGATGTAATCCAAAGGAGATGAGACCAGAGTTGTTTTCGTGCACAAATCAGACCAAGAAAGATTACAAAGGTGAAAAGGCTTGACAAGAAGGGATGTTGAAAGATTAAAGAGAGAAAAATAGATGAGTAAATTAGGGAAAAATGCATTTTAAGCACTACCTAGGATCTTCTTAGGAAAATTTGGAAAGCACTTTGTTTTTCAGGGTATTTTTAACTTTTTTTTCTTTTGTACAAGGCATTCTGTGAAATTAATGCAAGGAGCAATCGCCTGGTTCTGTAATAATGTACACTGATTTTTTTTTTTTTTTGCACTTGTACATCTTATATTAACATATTATTTGAGGTGGTATAAAAACAAATGACAGTGATAGGCCCTTTTGGTAATGTTGCCACAAGGCTGCGGTTCCTGATTTGAGGGGAACTTTTGTATCCTGTTTCTTCTGTGTCTTGTGTATTTACTTTCTGATCGCCATTGATGCTTGATTACTTTTACTTGCTTAGGTTTTCAGGCACTGTTGATTCCAACTCGATGTTCCATTTTTTGAAGCCCATTAATTAGAAGGAATTTGCCAGTTCTAAAAAGTAGCATGGGAAGGAAAAAAAAGCTTTTATTTTCACTAACATGAAAATAACCAAATTACATGTTTTTTTCTTTACAATCTTTAGGCGCTGTTTTGAATTTTTAGATTTACTTTTACAAGAATGGCAGACACATTCACTGGAACGGTAAGCATTTCTTTGGCTGTTTTTTTCCCCTCTGAATTGAATCTTGAGATTTAATGTCTCAACAAGTGGTCCAACCTGCTTTTTTGTAGGAATCAAAGGAATCTAAGCATTTGTTTGCATGGCTACATTTGTTATTTCTACTGATGCGAGGCACTTAATATTGGCAGAAACTTTTAGTGAATTTCATTGATTACAATATTGTGTGCCTAGAGATGTGGACCAGTGTGCACTATACCAACTACAAAGCCACAATTAACTTTTTTTTTTAAATTATTTTTTAATTCCTGTGTAGGTAACATACTGTTACATTAGTTTCAGGTGTACAACATAGTGATTCAGTGATTCTATACGTTATTCAGTGCTCATCATGATAAGTGTCCTCTTAATCCCCTTCATCTATTTCCCCCAATCTCCCCATCTACCTCCCCTCTGACAACCATCAGTTTGTTCTCTCTAGTTAAAGAGTCTGTTTTTTAGGGGTGCCTGGGTGGCTCAGTCGGTTAGGCATCTGACTCTTGGTTTCGGTTCAGGTCATGATCTCATGGTTTCATGAGTTCGAGCCCCACATCCAGCTGGCAGTGCACAGCCTGCTTGGGATTCTCTCTTTCTCTCTCTCTCTCTCTCTCTCTCTCTCTCTCTCTCTCTCTCTCTCGTTCTCACTCTCTCTCCCTTCTCTCTCTGCCCTTCCCCCACTCGTGTTGTCTCTGTTGCTCTCAAAAATAAATAAACTTAAAAAATTTTTTTAAAAAGAGTCTGTTTTTTAGTTTGTCTCTTCTTTGTTTTGTTTCTTAAATTTCACATCTGAGTGAAATCATATGGTATTTGTCTTTCTGTGACTGACTTAATTTCACTTCTGTGACTAGATCTAGATAGTCACATCTAGATCTAGATCCGTCCACGTTGTCACATATGGCAAAATCTCATTCTTTATGGCTGAGTAATAATATTCCATTGTATATCTTTTATTATCATGACTGGATGTTATACTTTGTCAAATGCTTTTTTCTGGATCCATTGAAATGATCATATGGCTTTTTATCCTTTCTCTTGTCGATGTGATGTATCACATTCATTGATTTGTGAATATTGAACCACCCTTGCATCCTAGGAATCCTACTTGCTGGTGGTGAATGATTTTTTTAATATATTGAATTAAGTTTGCTGATATTTTGTTGAGGATTTTTTTCATCTGTGTTCGTCAGAGTATTGGCCTGTAGTTCTCTTTTTTTGTAGTCTTTATTTGGTTTTGATATCAGGGTAACGCTGGCTTCATACAATGAGTTTGGAAGCTTTCCTTCCTCTTCTGTTTTTTAGAATAGTTTGAGAAGAATGGGTATTAACTCTAATTTAAATGTTTTGTAGAATCCACCTATGAAGCTGTGTGGTTTCTGGACTTTGGTTTCTTGGGAGTTTTTGGTTTACTGATTCAGTTTCATTGCTGATAATCAGTGTATTCAAATTTTCTATTTCTTCTTGCTTTAGTTTTGGGGAGTTATATATTTCTAGGAATATATCTGTTTTTTCTAGGTTGCCCAATTTGTTGGCATGTAATTTTTCATAATATTCTCCTAATCTTTTGTATTTCTGTGGTGTCAGTTATTATTTTTCTTCTTTTGTTTCTGGTTTTGTTTATTTGGGTCCTCTTTTTCTTTTGATGAGGCAAGCTAAAGGTTGATCAGTTTTGTTGATCTTTTCAGAGTACTAGCTCCTGGTTTCAGTGATCTGTTGTTTTTTTAGTTTTTATTTTGTTTCTTTCTGCTCTAATCTTTATTATGTCCATCCTTCAACTAGTTCTGGATTTTGTTTGCTTTTCTAGTTCCTTTAGGTGTAAGGTTAGGTTGATTATTTTAGATTTTTCTTGCTTCTTGAGGTAGACCTGCATTGGTATAAACTTCCCTCTTAGAATAGCTTTTACTGCATCCTAAAGATTTTGAACTGTGGTGTTTTCATTTTAACTTGTCTCCATGCATTTTTTAATTTCCTCTTTGATTTCTTGGTTGACCCATTCATTGTGTAGGAGCATATTCTTTAACTTCCATGTATTTGTACTCTTTCCTGGGTCTTCTTGTGGTTGATTTCTGGTTTCATAGAAACCAGGTTGGAAAAGATGTATTGTATAACCTGGATCTTTTACAACTTGTCAAGACTTGTTTTGTGGCCTAATGTGTGATATACTCTGGAGAATGTTCTGTGTGCACTTGAAGAGAATGTGTATTCTGCTGTTTTAGGATGGAATGTTCTGAATATATATGTTAGATCCATCTGATCCAATGAGCCATTTAAAGCCACTGTTTCCTTACTGATTTTCTGTTTGGATGGTCTATCCATTGATATAAATGGGTTGTTAAAGTCCTTTACAATTGTATTACTATTGATTACTTCCCTTACGTTTCTTATTTCCTGCTTTATATATTGGGTATTTTTTTTTTTTTAACATTTATTTATTTTTGAGACAGTGAGAGACAGAGCATGAACGGGGGAGGGTCAGAGAGAGGGAGACACAGAATCTGAAACAGGCTCCAGGCTCCGAGCCGTCAGCACAGAGCCCGACGCGGGGCTTGAACTCACTGACCATGAGATCATGACCTGAGCCGAAGTCGGCCGCCCAACCGACTGAGCCACCCAGGCGCCCCTGTATTGGGTATTTTGTTGATACCCATGTTTCGTGCATAAATATTTGTAATTGTTATATCTTTTTGTTGGATTGATCCCTTTGTGATATATGCTGTTTTAAAATCTATTTTGTCCATTATAAATATTGCTATTCCAGCTTTCTTTTCACTTCCATTTGTGGGATAGGTACTTTTCCATCCCTTCACTTTTCTGTGTATATGTGTCTTTAGATCTGAAATGAGTCTCTTGTAGGCAGCGTATAGATGGGTCTTGCTTTTTTATCTGTTCTGTCACCCTGTGTCTTTTGATTAGAGCGGTTAGTCCATTTGCATTCAAAGTAATTATTGATAGGTATGTATTTATTGCCATTTTGTTACTTATTTTAGTGTTGTTTATGTACTGATTCTCTGTTCCTTTTTTTTGTTGCTCTCTTCTCACAGTTTGCTGCTTTTCTTTAGTAATACACTTGGCTTCCTTTATCTTTATTGTTTGTGTATGTATTACTAGTTTTTGATTTGTGGTTACCATTAGGTTTGTAGATAACATTTTATGCATACAGCAGTCTAGAGTTGCTGATTGCTTAAGTTTTTAAGTCTCTACTCCTCTCTCTCCACGCTTTAGGTATGTGGTGTTATACGTTATATCCTTTAATTTTGTGAATCGTTTGATGGATTTTTATAGATGCAATTAATTTTACTGCTTTTGTGCTTCCTACTTTTCTTGCTCCTGCTTATGGTCTTTCCATTCAAAGAGTTCACTGGTTTAGGGGTTATGCATTTCTTTAACTTTTGTTTGTCTGGGAAATCTTTACGCAGCAAGGCTATCATTAAGAAGAGAAAAGAAGAGAGAGAGTATTCTTGGCCGAAGAATTTTTTCTGTCAGCACTTTGAATATATCATGCCACTCCCTTTTGGCTTGCCAAGTTTCTGCTGAAAAATCAACAGATAGCCTTAAGGAGTCTCCCTTGTATGTAACTGTTTTCTTTTATCTTGCTACTTCTAAAATACACTCTTTATCACTTCTTTTTGACTTTTTAATTACTGTGTCTTGATGTGAACCCCCTTATGTTGTTTTATTGGGGGCTCTTGATACCTCCTGTATCTAGATTTCTGTTTTCTTCCCCAGATTTGGGCAATTTTCAGCTATTATTTCTTCAAATAAATTTTCTAACCCCTTTTCTCTCTTTTCTCCTCTGGGATTCCCTATAATGCAGATGTTACTATGCTTGATGGTGCCCTAAGTCTTCTCATTTTTTTTCTCTCTCCTTTTCAGCTTGATTGCTTCCCATTATTCTGTCCCCAGTTGCTGATTCATTCTTCTGCTCCGTCTATTCTACTATTTATTCCCTGTGGTGTATTTTTTAATTCAGTTTTTTGAGCTCTTCATCTCTGATGGGTTCTTTTTAATGTTTTCTCTCTCTTTGTTAACGGTCTCACTGACTTCCTCCACTCTTTTCTCAAGTCCAGTGAGTATCTTTATGACCATTACTTTTTAAATTCTCTGTTAGGCAGATTACTTACCTCCATTGTGCTTACGTCTCTTGCTGTGATTTTGTCTTATTCTTACACTGGGGACGTAGTCCTTTCTCTCCTCATTTTGTCCAACTCTGTGTCTGTTTCTTTGTGTTAGGGAAGTCAGCTGCATCTTCTGCTTTTGAAGGTAGTGGCCTTATGAGGAAGAGGTCCCGTAGTGCCCTGCAGTGCCGTGTGCCCAGTTCACCAGAGCCTGGCACTTCAAGGGTGTCTCCATGTGTGTTGTGTGTGCCCTGCTCTTGGGGCTGAGCCGCTTTTCCTTTCAGTCCAGTCGTCTGCATTGGCTCTCTGCCTGTTGTGGGCAGCATTTGATTGCTGTGTTGTTAATGGGCCGGTCCAGGGCCACCTGGGCTTGAGTCACGTCGGACTGGGCATTTGCCAGAGAGGTGGTGGTACCGAGCTGCCGGGCACTTTCCTTGTGTCCTCCCATGAGAAGCTTTCATTAGCGGGTTCATTAGACCAGCTGACTCCAGCCCACTGCTGGGGCCGCAGTCTGGCTGGGTGTGTGCTTATCTTCCTTCTTCCGCTCCTTCCCCAGGACAGGAGTCACGTTGCAGAGGTGCTGATCCCTGTCGGGGCTGCTTTCCTCCTGCCTGACTTATGGTACAAGTTTTGCATAAGTTTGCTGTGGAGAGAGACCTGGAACCAAAGGCTTGGCTGGACAGGGTGTGTCCACAGGAGAAGGCAGACATGCTGTGAGCAAGCTGGGTGGAACGTGTTGGCGCTGAGCTGGTTTCCCCAAGTGTTGGTGTGTCTAGGCAGGGGACCCGCTAGCTCCTTTGTGCCTAAGGATTCCTGCCCCCCAGCACATGCTTAGAGATTAGTAAAGAAACGTCCCTCTTGTATACCCCAGGCATTTTTCAAAGTGTTGCTTCTGTGCTGTATCTCTGAGGGGCTGCTGTACTCTTTAAGGGTGGTGCCTCAGTGTCCTGTTTACCTCCTGCTGATGTTTAAAGTTTCAGGTGGTAAGCCCCATGATTGTAAGAACTCAAGAAATTGTGCTTCTCTGGTTTTCATGTGGGTTCTTGTGCCTGGGGTGCTTGGTGTCAGGGTTTGGTCCTCTCCCTTGCGCGTGTCTTGAGTGTCTCTCCCTTTTGGGGAAAGCCGGTGAGCTTGTTTAGCTCCTACCACATCTGTGCCCTTCCTGCCCTCTTCAGGGTGGCCTCCTCTCTACACGTAGCTGTGGAGAGTCTGTCTGCCAATCTACAGGTGGTTTTCTGGGTTATTTCCACAGATGTGGGTGTTACCTAGTTACATCTGTGGGAGGAGGGGATCTTGGGGTCCTCTACTCTGCCATCTTCCCGAGAAGTCAGCCACAATTAACTCCTTATTGGCTCTCAGCCAGCTGCCTGACATTCGTGTCAGTTCCAACCAAGTAAATGTTCCAAGCTGCTCTTTGTAGGCCAAGTGTAACTCTTAGGTCCTTAAAGGAGTTCCACTCATCTGAAGGTTTTCTTTTTGATCCCCCTGTATCAGACACTTAGCAGTTTTCTCTTTATTCAGGTTGATGTGTGGTAAGTTTCACATCATGAAGATAAAAGGTAGGATTATGGCAGAATTCTTAAGAAGCAGGTCTCTTAATTTTAAGATTCATTCTTTCCCATTTTTAGTTCCTTTGAATTTCAGGTGCCTGTTACTCTTTCTGCGTTACACTTGGAGAGAATAGATGATGAGGTTTTGCCACCCATGTTTTCTTGTTACTTAGTTTGTCAAGAAGCTTACAGCATACTAATCATTTTACCAGTGGAATTTTAATGAAGTGAGTACTTACGGGAGCCCCATTCTGTACTGCAGGGGTCAGAGAGGAAACAAAGCCATCCCTCCCAGAGGTAAAATTTCATCTGCAAAGTTCTTGAGTCTAGAGGGTAGTCACACATTGTTTCAGTACTTTCTTGTTCTTAAATCTCTTGATAGGCAGTGATAGTTCTAGAATTGAGAGGTGGAAATCGGAATGAGGAATCTGATGTGAGGACCTGTGAGTAGAACAGTCACGTGTGAAGAACTCCGATCTGGCCTTGTGTGTTTGTTCATTCCCCTCCTTGCTTAGTACCCACCACTTAGCAGACACTCGCCAAATACTTACTGAATGAACGAGGCATGAGGCAGATTGGTAACTACTCTTTGTTCTAGGAGACTAATTCATTCCAGCCTTTTTTTCTTTTCTTAAAAAGCTGTTAGACATTCAAAGAGATACTTTACTAATATCTTCTCTGCTAGGGCAGAATGTAACTAAAGAAAATACCTATTTATAACATTGTTGCATGATTTTATAAAATTATTTCATTTTATACCGTGGAACTTGAAGAAAACATTGTGTTTATAGAAATGTGATGTGGGTAGCCTCCTCATATTAAGGTTATTATTACCTCATGATTTCTGTAGAAACTAGTTCTGACCGTGGAAAAGTAGAGTCTTACTGGTTGGGTTCATAAAAGATGGAGCTAAATAAGTGTGGTGTGAAAAAAGTCAGCCATTGTTTAACAAACTCGCCCACAGAGTAGGTAGATAGGGGCAGCTGGTGGAGGGTGGAGGTGGGGGGACCGGGACAGAGGTAGGGGTTAGAGCTGCCGAGAAGGGAGTGCTTGGATTTTCTACTCTGCGTGATAGTTGGCTAACTGGGCACAAAGCCACGATGCCATTTTGTAATTTTCACACCTGATTTCATCTGCATAAAACCACATGTTAATGATGATCACTGCTTTCTCTCCTATTTCTATGACATGTGTCCTATATGTGTCCTATTTCTAGACACATATCAGTATTAGCCGAAACAATAAAGAAGGGAATACACGATGCCGATTCCGAAGCAAGGATAGAAGCCAGAAAGTAAGTGTTTGTTGTATACCATTTGTTTTTAATTCACTATTTTTATGTTTCAGATGTGTTGTTTAGATTGCCTTATTTTTTAAAAAATTTTTATGTATTTTTGAGAGAGAGACAGACACAGCACAAGCTGAGGGGTGGTGTGGTGCAGAGAGAGAGAGGGAGACACAGAATCCGAAGCAGGCTCCAGGCTCTGAGCTGTCGGCACCGAGCCTGACGTGGGGCTCCAACCTGTGAACTTTGGGATCATGACCTGAACCAAAGTCACCCAGGAGCCCCTAGATTGCCTTGTTAAAAATTCGTCAAATGGGGCGCCTGGGTTGCTCAGTTGTTTAAGAGTCTGACTCTTAATTTTGGCTCAGGTCATAATCTCACAGTTTGTGAGATCGAGCCCCACGTCAGACTCTGCACTGACATCCCGGAGCCTACTTAGGATCCTCTCCCTTCTTCTCTCTCTGTCTCTCCTCTGCTAGTGCTCTCCCTCTCAAAATAAATAAATAAAAACTTAAAAAAACATTTGTTAAGTTACATGAATAATGTTTTGTTATTCATGACTGTTAAATATGACCCCAAAAGCCTTTTCACAATATTTCTCTATTTTTCTGCTTAGAAGGTTGCTCGGTGCCCAGACCTAAGAGACTGAGTGATATTATTTGAGTATAAACAGGACTGAGGCACACAATAAAATGCTCCTTTTTAAATTTATGAGAAATTATTACATGAATTTGCAAAGCACTTGTTTGCATGCTCAGACTTACTCATTAGGCTCTGTTAAAAGCCAGGTCATAATCCCCAGGGACCTTTTGATTTCCCTTGAAAAATTATGGGCCCTGGGACTCTTCACCTGAGAGGGCATCTTTGCAGGTGTCAGGTGGCTGCTCTGGAAGTGTGAGCGTGGTGAGGGGCAGGCGGGTGATGGGACGCAGTGGGGACGCACACTCACCATCCCACGATCGAGGCAGTTTTGCCATTAGGGCTGGTAACGCTCCCGTCCTGTGGCTGTGGCCGTGCATTCTGTGCTCCCCTGGGCAGAATCGTGTCCTTGTGACCCATGGGTCAGATGCTGAGACTTCCTCTGTCTCGGGCAGTGTGTAGGTGAGTGCTGTGAATTTTGCACCCGTGGCGTTTTCTCTGTGCCTTCACAGTGCCCGGCTCTTCTCCTTGACACAGGCAGTCTGTTATTCCTCACCTGGAACGTTACTGTTCTATTTAGCTGCACTCGTACATCCTCCTCAAGTCTGTGTTGCTCCGTGACTGCTCCCTCAGTCACGTTCCATCCTCCTGGTTTCTGAGGTCTTCGGAGGACCTCCTTGAATCACTGAAGCGCTTACCATAATCTCAGCTTGGGTAGTTCTTGCCAAAATAAGGGCCCCCGTTAATAGTTGCTCACAACTATTAGGAATGGATTCGTTAGTCACCCGCTTCAGCGGCTTTTATCCTGGCATGTATATTCCCTCCCTGGTTTTTTCTGCTTCTTCAGTCACACTGCAATACAGATTTCAAGTAGCTGCGGGTATCTCTGCGCCTCTCTGTTGTACATCATCTAAGGCAACTGTAAACACCTCCAGTCGATGAGTGTCGAGCAGCGTGTGGAAAAGCTGCCACTGATGAGTGCCCTCCATGTTCTGGGTCTAGTTCTGGGTGTTTAAGCTCCATCTTCTCTAAGGTTCAGCCCTTTAGTTTGCATTTTGTAAATGAGACTCGATTCAGAGAAGTCAGGTAACGTGTCCAGTGTCAGAAGAGCCAGTAAGTTGTGCGGGCAGGATCCATACCCGGCCCCCTTTGTTCACTCTCCCTTCCTGGTCCTGTGTCGCTCCTGGTAGCAGCGCCCCGAGGATTCTAGTCCTTGACCGCGTCACATGGTGGGCTGCAGAGCTGGGCGCAAGCCCCACGTGATCCTGACCGTGCGGCACGCTGCGTGTCTTCCCTAGGTGCTACTGGGGTTTCCACAGTCACTTCAGCAGAGAAGCAGAGCATTTGTACCACACCTTGGAGTCCTCCTACCAGAAAGCCCTGCAGTCCCACCTGAAGAACTCGGACAGCATCGTGTCTCTGCCGCAGTCCGACCGCTCATCCTCAAGCTCTCAAGAGAGTCTAAAGTAAGCACTTCATCCATGCTTCTCGTTAGTGTGAGCTTTTAGGTTTAAAGGTTTGCTACATGAGAACACAAATGCCAGCTGTGTTTTTACATATACGTGCCTGTGCTAATCTCCCCTTACTTCAGACAGGTTCTGCTACGTAAGATACCAGGGGAATGGTAAGGAGTAGGGCGCCTCGGTCTCTGCCATAGCCGTGTTTAGTGAAATTTATATGGCAGTCCCAGAATACGGTTTTGGAGTCGAATAACTGAATTCTTGAAAGGGTCTTCTAAGAGAATGTGATTGTTAACTTGGAGACAAGTCTGGAAAGGGAGGGCGTTCGGCACCTGGGAGTGAATGTATTACCATCCTCGCGCTGTGTTTCTAACTTCTGTCTCTAGCCACGACTTCTCTCTGTATGTCTGGAAGATAGTCTGGTCTATAATGCTAAAGCTTTGTTCAAAATTGGGGATTGATAAGATTGTGGTCCCAGTTACCTGAGAAATCCTGAAAAGTCTGCAATGATTCCTTCATCCTCCTAGTCTCCTGTTGTAGACTGTACTTGTGTGAATGCAGATGGAGTGCTCATTGGATAATAATAAATGCGTGTATACTTTTCAGTCGGCCACTCTCTGCCAAAAGAAGTCCTACCGGGAGCACCACCTCTAGAGGTAAGACTGACGGCCGTGGAGAAGGTGGTCTTGGGGAGGCCTGTTTCTGTGCGGCTCCCAGAGGCTGCTTGGTTGCTGGAAGCCGGTGACCTGCTTGCAGGTGCCCCTCAGGTTTGCAGAGGGCACTCTCGCAGCGCTCCTGCTGGACTGAGTAGAGCCCCGCTGTCCCAGGGGCTGAGGGCTGTGAGGAGCCCACGCTGAGGATGCCGTGGGCAGGTGGAAGTGGAGCCCTGTGGACCTTTCCTCTCCCACCTCCCTCCAGCATGTGGATCCCTCCCCAAATAGTGCTGCTGCTTTGCTCTGGTCACTTGACAGGAGACTAGGGACAACGTGTGAAGCTTTGAGCAACAGCAGCGGGATAGCGGCTGTTCGAGGTGGGAGAGTGGAATGTTCCCCGGGAGCGGGAGGGTGTCTGAGAGTGCACGCCTAGGCCACAGCGTGCAGGAACTGTCCACGTGTGGGCGCTTCTTCATGGTCTCACTTCTCACATTACCCAGAGATAGGGTCCATTTCTTTGGGGTTTATAGTCGATCACAAGAAAATAAGTGTAATGGGTGTGTGTGCTTGTGGTTCTTCAGCGGTGGCTGAATTCTGTCTTCGGGGACCAGGAGAAACTGTGGTCAGTGTGCACGCACTCCAGCCTTCCTTAAAATTTGATAGGAAAAGCCAAACAAGTTGTGACGATGTATGTTTACGGTTCTCATGTGGTCCTTACTGATGTTTCCTCCTTCCCCACTCAAGCTTCTACGGTCAGCACCAAATCCGTGTCAACGACCGGGTCCCTCCAGCGGTCTCGAAGCGATATTGACGTGAACGCAGCAGCCAGTGCCAAGTCCAAGGTCTCATCGGCCTCGGGTGCTACGCCTTTCAGCTCTGCAGCGGCCTTGCCTCCGGGGTCCTACGCATCCTTAGGTAACCAGACCCCCACCACCTTTCCCCCGGTTTGAGATGTTTGAGATGACATTTAGCCCTGCTCAGATTTGCTTAGCAAATTACAAAACACCGTCATTGAGGAAATTCTCACTGTTGCAGGCCTGATTTTTAAGTATAAGTAGCTCTGTGCATTTCCTGCTGGTTACCAGCCACCCTTTGTTGAGTGTTCCCTTTCTCTGGACGAGTAAGTAGCTAGGTGCTCACGTGGTGCGTCACGCAGAGCCACCCCTCAGCTTCACTTTCCCCTTCGTGGCAGCCCAGCCAGCGCCTTGTCACCTCCCACATTGCCTCATGACGTGGGTGGGGCAGAGCCAAAACGGTTTCCTGAGGGATTTGCTGAAGACAGTCACTGTGATTCGGTATTTCCCGGTTCGGGAATCTGACCGGAGTGGCCGAGGTGCAGGATTGGGGGGCGAGAGCGAGGGGCATCTCTAGAGAAATGTGGTGGACTTACTGGCCAGCATAACCATATTCCTCAGAAGAGTGCCAGGAGGAGACTGTACCTACTCTTAACAATAGCCCAAAGGACTTTTTGAAACATTATTAAATTTATATCTGGCAGAATGGTAGGTCAGTTTCTCAGTGTTTTCAGCAAATGAACACCTGTGTGTAGGGCTGATAGTTGACTTCATCTTATTTTTGTTAGAGCAAAGTCGTTCAAGCCAGAACCTGGGGACTCTGGTGGAGACTGAACACGTACAATTAAAATTTCATGAAACATTGAGACTGAATTGGTTCACAAACCAATTCCAAAGTCTGTTCCAAAACTGACGTTCTCAAGGTGTTCCGAGCACGGAGTCACAGGCTAGAGCGCCAAGGGGAGATTACTGGGCTGCCGTTTATTAGCTTGCTAACCTTGAACAGGCCATGCAGTCTCTGCATCTGGTTTCTCTACCTAATTAGTTGTGGAGATCGTCACCCAGCTCAGACACACGAGAGGGATGAATTAAATAATTTAATAAAAGTTCTTTGTAAGCGATTACCCCATAAGGTGAAAAAAACGGATTGTGCTAAGCACGTGAGAACGTGAAAGGAGTGTGTTCTGGAATGTTTGTTAAGTCGGTCTTGTTTTCTCTCGGCAAACCCCTCAAACACGGGTACTTTTGATTGGAAAGAAGCCCAGTAAGTGCTCTCCCTTCCCATCGCTTCACTACTGTAACATTACATTGGAGTGTTTATGACATTAGGTTGGTACGTAGTCATCCAGTAAGGGGGACGTCAGAACAGCTCTCTCCCAGGGTGGGGTAGCTCTGTTCATTTGAGTTCCGTTTTTAAATATGTACCCGTGTTTCAATACATTTGATCCACCTTGAGTATCTGTAGTTGCAATTTGTTTCGCTGCTTGAGAACTTGAGTAAAAACTGTCTTTTAGAGGACTCTGTAGTCTTTGTTTTTTCTGTGCATACCTTGGATATTTTAATATGGACCATGTAGACTTCCCTCAGTGCTAGCAAAAGCACCCAGGTCTTTTGGTCTGACGATACAAATGGACCTTTTACAAGCAACTGAGGATACATTTTCAGCCCAGCATTAGCTCTTCAGGTAACAGGACCGGAATATTCCCTCTCTCTCAGCATTTCCGAGAACCCTGCCTCCACTTGTTTCGTGTCCAGAACCACAACCCAACAAAAAACCTGGGAAGTTGAGCATAATCCTACTGAGAAATTGTTAATGATGACTACTTAGGTCGGCACATTATATCCGTGCCGGAAGTGTAGCATTAAAGCTGACGATCCTTTTCCGAACTTCTAGAGTCCAGACACATGAGGGAAGATATGGAGTCCGTAGGCCATGACTCAGGTACCCTGCTGTACAGCTTCTGCCGCTCACCGTGTAGTTGGGTAGGCGTCATTGCTAGAGCTAGCTTCTCTCAGCTTCCTCTCTGCCTCTGTTCTTTGGGGGACTCTTCAGTACTTTAGCTTTTGGTTTCCCCCCCTTATTCTGCTGGTACTTGGTTCTAAGAAAAAGAAACTCTGAGAGGATGAGGGTTGGCTAAAACAAAAGCCCAACAGTGTATCAACTGAGGCGCTACCCTGGGTTGACATTTTTTAGCTTATTTTCCAAAAGCAAAAGCAACATTCTACTCAGCCGATTTTAATCGGAGGCACACGTACTTGCTTCAGAATCTGCTTTGCTGTTGAACTTGTTTCTTTTTTGATTTTATTTTAAATTGTACTTCTGCTTTTTTAGTAGCTAATAACATTCTGCTTTTTAATTTTTTTTTTTTAATGTTACTAACTGTTCCCTGTTATCCCCTCCCTTGTTTTTTAATTTGCTTAAAGACGGTACTTCCACTAAAGCGGAGGGTAAGCGGTTTGTTTCTGTGACTGGGGTGTGTCTCGCCTTCACCCGTCCTATGTGCTCACTGAGTGTTGCCTGGTGCCCACTCGCCCCCACCGAGGTCCCTGCATGACGCATTGCACGCTCCCTCCACTCTTCTTCATTCGGTCTCCCTGCCTCTCTGCCTCCCCCCTACCTGAGTTCTCCTCGCCCTCCTTGTCCTGTCGTGGTTCTGGTGAATCTGTCACTCGTGTGCTGTCCGTGGTTTCCGGCGCCCGGCCTGCCCCAGGGAGGAGCCTTGTCCGGGTGCTGGGTGCTGCCGTGCCCGGGGGCTACTGCTCTCAGATCTTGGTATTCCCGAAGCAACCCCTTCGCAGCTTTCGTTCCCTTCTCTTTCTTCCTCTCTTTACCTTTGTGCTTCTGTGGGCCTCTCCTGTTTTGAAAATAAATTCAGTGTCATTTACTTAGGTCAAAAGGCCGGTAAAGGTTTTCTACCAGGTAATTGATCGAAATTTTTAAAAAATAACTTTTCTCTTTCCTATAGATGCTACTGAGTCATGTGATGTCATTTTTATTTGTATCACTGACACATACCCGTTCATTCGTTGACCCTCAGTCTTCCCCTCATCAACCGTGTATTAAATGCCTTCCATGTATTAAATGTGTCACGTTCTGCGCTCCACACGGGCTCCGGCATGGTGAACGAAACACACACATCCAGATCCCCTTTGGTTTCTTTTTATGCCATTCTCTGGAAGTTTTCTCCTGATTTTGCATTGTCTTTTGACTTTAAGACATAACCATTTTGGCCTGTCTAGCTCTTGGATTAGCACATGCTAGGCTACACCGTCCCTTTGTGCAGCCTCTACCCGGAGAGCAGGATAATGCCTCAAATCATTGAAATTTAGAGGAACCTCACATGCTTAAGATAGTGGCTTAGACCCACCAACCCTCAGCCTGAGATTTAACACTTAGCAGTTGCTAGTTTACTGCCATACCTTATTTAGCAGCTCCAAAAGGCTAGCCTGCAGTGGGCTGGCTTTTATCCTTATGTGTGCGGCTCAGAGCACTTTTAATCAATACGCTACTTCTTCAGGGACTCATAAAGGAAAAACTCGGAATGGAATTTTTTTAAAGATGGGCATAGTCCCAAGGTCAGTGTTCTTCAAACTTACCTCATAAAAATTACCTGCAACGTACTAAAGAAACAGAGTCCTGGGTCCTTCCTCCTGAAAATTCGGATCAAGTTTGGAAGGGGCAACAGAATCTGAATTTTCAGTAAGCCCCAGTCAGTGGTGGTTCTTTGGGTTGGACAAGTGTGTGAGGTGAAAAGTTTCCCAGGTGAAAGTGGACAAGAAGCCTATGTCACAGTGAGGACCTCCTTTGTGAGAGCAGACGACAGAGGGCTGGCAGTGACTGCATTTTTTAGCCTGTAACGAGTGATCTTACATTTCTCCTTCCCAGCAACATGATCGTACGTATTTCCTCGGCGTAGGTGGAAGAGAGGCGGAGAGTGGAATTCTGTAATGTAGATGAAGTGGAAAGTGAAGATGTTCCAAGGGGGTTGTATTTTTTTTCCAGATGCTCTAATTTTATATGCCTGTGTGATAAGACTTGAAATCAGCCTGCTGTTCTCCCCAGCGCTAGGAATTTTTCACTTTTATTTCTTTTTATCAGTTTTCTTTTTACCAGTGCAGAGCAAGGTCAGAAGATTACCTACTCCGTTATTGTGCAGGAGACCAAGAACGAGGAGTCTCCTTCTGGTTCCCCTTCCAGTAGAAGTGGGAGAATGAGATGGGGGCCTTCGTCGTAGACGGTTCAGAATCTGACGGAAGACAAGCTTAGTGAGGGTAGCCGGTGAGCCTTTTTCTCTGTGTCCCAGGGCTGTGCAGGCTGTTGAGAGCCGGACATCAGTGCCTCGGGCTTGGAGTGCCCGTGAGACAGAAAGGACACAGTGCTGGTGGGCCGCAGACTCCAGCGCTACAGACGCCCTGGCTGTTTGAGCAGTGAGGCCTAGTGGTGGTTCTCAATAGAGCTGCACACAGATATTAGAAAAAGGCAGCAGTAAATATCACGCTGGGCCTGAGTTTTCTATCTGAATTTTTGGAATCATTGCGGTCCTTTTTAAAATTTGTCAATAAGCCTATGAAATTATTTTCCTGTCTAGCTCCCAGAGCAAGAAGGGACAAGTGCTTTCATCATTAGGAGACAAAGCTATGACTTGGAATCAATAGTTGGATGCTCTAAATTCAAAATTCAGATAATGCATTTGAATTCCAGCAACTTTGTTAGTGTGGGAATGGAGAAAAATACATCTACTTGGGAGGTTTTTTTTTAATCATACACATCAAATAGCCTTTCTCACGTTTATAACTAGTCAGAAAACATTTTTGGGGAAGAGCCCACAGAACCTCATCTTCTGGACAAAAGTTTATTTCCCCGTCACGTTTGAATAATCTGGGGGATTTTAGAAAGAAGCATTCATGTCATTGGTTTTGGCACTCGTGGGATGAGTCTGTGATGAGATGCTACGCTTGTGGTAAATGAGTACATTCCCATCTACTACTGTTTTTTGTGGTTTGTTTTTGGGTTTGGGGGGGCCTTTTTGTTTTAGCTATTGTACTTAGGAAATGCCTTGTTCATATTTTTTTTCCCAGAACACATACCTTTAAATGAAAAGTTACCAGGCTCCAATGGCTTCAATGAGTGGGAGCTGATGACTTATTGATCGTTTCAGAGGATAGATGATCCTATGTTAAGTCCAAGGCCATGCTTAACTACCAGTGATTTTAAGATTATGGAATAAAAGCGATGTAGCCTTGTTTGCCCTTTAGGAAAGGGAATTTAAATTTTAGTTCACTTTCATTGGGAAATCAAACATTTGGTATCACTTATATATTTATTCCAAGAACTCTGACTTCCAAGTGATTGGCTTTTTTACACAATGAAAAAAATATGTGTTTGTCTATTGGAGTAAAAGAGTGCTAAGATTCTTTTAGTTTTTTTTTTTTTTTTAATTTTTTTTTCAACGTTTATTTATTTTGGGACAGAGAGAGACAGCATGAACGGGGGAGGGGCAGAGAGAGAGGGAGACACAGAATCGGAAGCAGGCTCCAGGCTCCGAGCCATCAGTCCAGAGCCCGACGCGGGGCTCGAACTCCCGGACTGCGAGATCGTGACCTGGCTGAAGTCGGACGCCTAACCGACTGCGCCACCCAGGCGCCCCAGATTCTTTTAGTTTTATCGGTAAAAAATATGAGGAGAGTTGTTCCTCTGGGAGAAGTGCTTGTAGGTAAGAGAATTTATAAGTGGTCAACTTCCCAAATTTTGATTTCATCAAAAATGCCACCTGTGAGTAAGTTGAGGTCGGTTGAATTATGCCTGGAAGCTGTGAGTTGTGAAATGGACACATATGCCAGAATGCCCCTGTGTGATGATGGAGATTTACCTAGAAGACCTTTTAATCTGGATAACCTCTACATTGAGCATTGCCTGAAATTTTGCAACTATCCTAAGGGGGACAGAAACCCTAGTGACTTGAGACTATCTGATAGGGGATTTTTTTTTTTAAATGTTTGTTTATTTTGAGGAAGAGCGTGTGTGAAGTGCACACATGCAAGCAGGGTGAGACAGAGAGGGAGAGAGAGAATCCCAAGCAGGCTCTGTGCTCAGAGTGCACACGGACACGGGGCTCCATCTCACAATCCGTGAAATCACGACTTGGGCCGCAATCAGGAGTCGGGAGTCCCAACCGACTAAGCCACACAGCCCCCCCGATCATGATTGTTTAATCGCCTTGGACTAAATGTAGGAAAACCATGCCTGCAAGTTAAACCGGGTGCACAGGTTTTGTTTCCCATTTTGAGGGCTCTTCTGCAAGAATGGAAGTGTGATGGAAAGAAATTCTCCAGCAGCTTTATTAAAAAGCCACTCGGTATGGCTGTTCTGTTTCACATATTCCATGAAAGTCAAAGGCTGTCCTCCTCCAATTCTTTGTTTTCTTCTAGGTCTGCTTTTCTTGGGGTGGGTGAGTTTGTTTGTTGTCCAGCTCCAGAACTTTTTTTTCTGTTGGACAGTTCTCTATTAAACTCTTCTTTTTCATTTTATTTTAAAATTATTGTTCTTATAATTTTATTTTAGAGAGAGTGGAGGAGGGGGAGAGGGGCACACACACACACACACACACACACACACACACACAGAGGAGAGAGAGAGAGAGAGAGAGAGAGAGAGAGAGAGAAAGAGAAGGAATCTCAACCAGGCTTCATGCTCAGCACAGAGACCAGCACGGGGCTTGATCCCACAACCCTGGGTTCATGACCTGAGCTGAAATCAAGAGCTGGATGATGGACTGACTGAGGCACCTGGGTGCCTCTATCTCTGATTTCTGTTTATCTTACATTATTTTTCTTCCATGTCTATTCACTCTCTGTCTCTGTCATAACACAGTATGAATGAACATGAATGTCAATAACAGGTCATAATGTAGAAGTGAAGTATAGTTTTACTCTTTGTTGCATTTATTGAATAGACTTTGTTTTTCTTAAAGACCAAAGGGTATTTTGTATCATCTCTTTATAATATCATCAATTAATACAGTGAACCAAACAAACCAACAGCCTTCTCTTTACAAAAGAAATCTGTATCTGAATACAACACAAAAAAGGCCCTTTTAATTCCCTGAAATTGATTTTAAGGGTGCCCTGAGGTCTTAGTGACTCATGTGAGTCCCTGGGCAGATGGAATCAAGCCGCTGTGTTCCCCCAGGTGACAGGTAAGGTTGGTGTCGAGGCAGCATTGTCAAGGTGCTATAAATCCGTGACAAGGTGGGCTAGGAGCAAAACCTCTTTATCTTCAGGTTGACACGGTAGCTCTTGACTCTGCTTTAGGTAGGGGAAAAAAACCAGCCCCCCAATTTGTAACTGAGCTCTGTTCTCCTGCAAGCTGTACCTTCAGTTTTTATTAATCTGTGGTGTCTGATGAAGTCAAGTGGTCTGCGTTTCTAGCCCTCAAGGGCGCCTGACAG